GGACACCGACTGAAAGAGCAGCTATTGCTCAAAGCCTCAGAGGTGCCTGACTGTAAATAGAAAGCCCCCACAAAATATTTCTGAAATGGAGCTGTGAATCTCCCATACACTCCAGGAGACAGAGCTGCAGTTCTCTCTCCCCTGGATCCTGCTTTTCTTGATGTTCCTGAGAGATGTTGCTGATCAAGAGAGCAGCCAGGCTGGTGTGGCAGCACCACCTGGGACACCCAGCCAAGCACCATAACTTTGCACCTCCTGACAGCCTCTCCTGTCCATTTGGGACAGGATGGGTGGTGGGTGCTGGAGCAACCACTTGGGGACATAGTAATCCGCTCACTTCGGATCATCTGTGATGAGCATTTTTCTCTTTTTTGCAGGAGCAGCTGGAGATCCTGGCTTCCCAGGACCAAAAGGTAGGTCTTGCTGTGTTGAATTTATCATGTGAGCTGCTTTGTTAAACTTTCACCGTGTGCTGCTCTGGAACGACACAGTAGGTGGGAGGAGCTATAGAGAAATGGAAGTATCCCACCAGGAACCGAATGGGGCTGTTTGGTGCCAGTTGTGTCCCACCACGGGCTCAGCCCTGGCCCATGTGCTGTGGGCAGTCCCACTCCCAAACCAGCAGTTCAGCAACAGCTGCTGCCCCAGCTCAGGCACCTGGTGCTGCTGCCTGGCACCACCAGCTTCAGAAACCACAGGGCTGAGGGGTAAGCCAGTTTGGCCAGAGGATTAATATTTCCATGCTATGGCAAAATGCAGAGGCTCGCATGAAATTCAGTTGCTGCGGGTGCCAGAAGAATATGTCTCTACCTGCACTAGCAATAGGGTAGAGGGAAAACACTTTGTTTTTTCCCTGATGCCATCATCCTGCACGTGAGAGTCACGAGCACCCACCCCTGAGCACTGTCTGCACTGTGGCTTCTTTCTCTAGAGCTTGCCTGCCAGTCCCTGAGGCCAAGCACTGCTTGTCTGGTGGCTGGTCCAGCACATGTGCTCCAGCTCACAGCCACTCCCAAACCACAGGCTAAAGAACTCTGCCAGCAGCAACCATTCCCACCCCGAGGCTTGTGACCCTGCCTTCCTGTGGTGCATTTCCTCCTCCTTCCCCTACTCACCCACTCCTATCCCACACGTCACAGCCCGACAAGACTCACTGGCACGAAATGGTGGTACCCAGCTCCCTGGGCAGAGCAGCCAGGCCCGACAGAGACATGTCTTGTGTCAGTCTCTCCTCTTGGACCTCCCAGCCCCAAATCGAACACCAGGGGGAAATATGTCATGCCAGGTTCAACATCCAAGAGAGGCAAGGCTGCTGCTCCTTATTCATCTACAGTTTGTCCCACCCCGTGTACCTCCTGGGCAACCTGGAGAGCTACTCCCAGTGTCTGAGGGTGCTGAGTGTCACTGCTGTAGTTCCAGGGCTCTGTGGCTTGGGCTCCCACCAGTCCCACTGTGCTTTGCTAGGTCAGTGTGGATGGGCTGATGGCTCTCCTCTGGTGTGCCTCTGAGCTGCCAGGGAGGGCAGAGCTTATACTGAGTTACTTTTCCTGCCTGGTTCCCTTGTGCCTGTTGTGTGTGCAACGAGCCAAGGCTTTCCCTAACATCACAGCTCTCCAATGCAGCAGCATTTGTCTTGGCAAATTATGCCAAGTGCTGGGGGAGGGAAACACTGGGTGTGAAGGTGAAGAGCAATTGATGGTGCTGTTTGTCCAACAGGAATGAAAGGAGAGCCTGGATTTCCAGAAACATGGGGTGAGTTGCATTCCAGGTCTTCATGCCACCGTCAGTTCTGCAGAGCAGATAATGGTGGACTACCTGTGCCAGAAATCAGGACCAGACAGGAATAGAGACAAATTCAGAGTGGCATTGAAGGACAGAATAAAGAAATATCACTGTTAATCTATTTGCTTCTCACAGACACATGCAGCTTCTGTGGGTCTACTCTGTACTCCAGCCAGGCCAGAAAAGTCATGTCCTCTGAGCACTACTTGGGTCACCTGCCCTCTGTGTGTCCTGGAGGAGGTCTGAGTTTTTTAGAGCCCCAGTTTCCAGGATGAAAACACTAAAAATAGCTGTATGTGGCTATTTCAAAGGCAGTTATACACCTATGCGTGCAGTGGCAGCTTCAGCAGATGCAAAGTTCATGAGTGTGATAGTGCACAGATTAACTCAATAATGCAAAAAAAAGGAAGAAAAGAACCCAAACAAAACAAACAAGATTCAGTTGGCTCATCTGTCTCCAGGAATTAAAGCCAAAGGAGAGCTACAACCTGTTCTGGCTACAGTTGGGTGCTGTAGGACCACAATCACATGCAGAGGCTCAGGCAGATCAGAGCTGTGTAACTCCTGGGGGACTGGGATGTCACTGAACTGGCCCCTTGCTGCCCCAGGCACTCCTCTGCCCTTTTACATTTCCTGGGCCTGTAAAACAACTGACTAAGGAACAAGCCGTGTCTAGGACCATCCCTCTGCTAGGATGGACACCCATGTCCACAGGACATCCTGGTACAGCTGTGCCTCACACACAGCACACCTGGACACCTGTATCACTAGCACCACCATCTCAGATCATCTTGTTCAGCTTTCCCTGTGATGGCCACAGACACAGCTGCAGGCTGGGATGGCTGATAGGGCTGTTCCAGTGACCTGTGAATCTCAACTTCTGTCAGCAGGTATGGTTTGGGGGTAAAAATTTATGAGGAGTATGTACATAAATGTATACATATGTACCTATATATATGTATTCAAAAGCATTGTGTCTTGGAGAGATCTCAGTGTGGCCTTCCAGTACTTAAAGGAGGCTTATAAAAAATGCTGGAAAGTGACATTTTACTCGGGCAGATAGTGACAGGACAAGGGGGAATGATGTAAAACTAAATGAGAAATTTAGATCAGACATTAGGAGGGAAATCTTTACTCAGAGGCTGCTGAGGCACTGGCACAGGTTGCCCAGAGAAGCTGTGGTTGCCCCATCCCTGGAAGTGCTCCAGGCCAGGCTGGACAGGGTTTGGAGCATGTCCAGCCTGCTCATGGCAGGGGGCTGGAATGAGATGAGCTTTAAGGTCTTTCCAGCCCAAACCATTCCATGATTCAGTCCACAGAGCATGATCTGAACACTGTTTGCTGTATCACAGGGAGCTGCTTCTCTGTGTCACCACTCCTTTGCTGCCAACTACCTACATACTCTCTGTGCCCTTCATACATTCCGGAGCCCAGACAAATTCCTGGATCATGAGTTTGTCATCCTGCTCAGATCAGCTCCATTGCCCAGACCTCCAAAAGAGTCATTGTGGATGAGAGGAGTCTGACCACCTTAGACCATGTCTTAGAAGGTGCCCATCTCCCCTGCGACACATGGTCCTGCAGTGCAAAGGGTGCTGAGGGGCCCAAAGCCTCAAGGCTGATGTGCTCCCTGGATGCAATGAGCATGTTCTAACTCTTTCCACTTGATCTCTTTCTCTGATTTGCCCAGAACCCAGGAACTGCCAAGAACTGCTGGGCAAAGGGAAGATCCTGAGTGGCTGGTACACCATCTACCCCCAAGGCTGCAACGCCACTACCGTTTTCTGCGACATGGACACAGATGGTGGGGGATGGATTGTGAGTAGGATGAGGAGAGGGAGGTTTCTATGTTCCTATAGTAATTTTTGTTAAGGCTGCAAAGGATGGCACCAAAATAGAACCAAAAGGGAGGAAAACACACACGGAGAGGACAGTTGAGGGTTACATCAGCACACTGGGGTGAATCCCTGTGGATGAAGGGGATTCTCCCAGGAGCTGTCTTTGGGAGCAGGCCAAGTGCCACAGATCCAATCCCTGCTTAAATCAGCCAATCATTTATTTCCCCCTCATTTCCAAGGGCAGATGGAGGAGAATCTTGAGCAAAGAATTCCTGGGGGGTTTGTTCCCAAAAGACCTGCAGGAGTGTCTGATGCAGGGGGGGCATTTACCACAGGTGGCTGTGTGCCCTGGACACTGTGGAGGTGTTTGGGTGAGTGATGGGTTGGTGGGGCTGAGGGTCTCCTTTCCTGCAGGTTTTCCAGAGGCGCTGGGATGGGTCAGTGAACTTCTTGAGAGACTGGGATTCATATAAACGAGGCTTTGGCAACCAGCTGACAGAGTTCTGGCTGGGGAATGACAACATCCACTTGCTTACCTCACTGGGTAAGTTCTGTCTTTGTCCCAGGCTGGGATCATGAGAGTCCAACCCCTGTGCCACACTGGATCATTAAAGACCTCTGAGCTTCTCATATCCATGAGGCCCCACTGTTAATCCCAAACAGGATGCAGGCTCTTGTAGCCCATTGCATACAGAAAATTGCTCTCTAAAAAAGGAAAACTAGAAGCTAGGAAAGAGAATGAGCTGGATGCTTGTCCTATCCTGGAGACAGGCCAACACATCTTCCTAATTGGACTGTTGTGATGGCATCATCTTGTTCACACACAGCCTTGGAGTTACAGCACTGTGCAGAACTCCTGGGTGCATAGCTTTCAGCATCCATGACCACCCAGCATAGTACCAGAAAAGGTTCTTCCCAAGAAAACCATCAAAGGTAGAGGAGGTTCTGCAGGAATTTGAAATAAAACATAATCTCTCAAGTAGTGAAAGCTCCTCTCAAGTTAGCTCAGGGCTCCTTAAATCCTCCACCCTGAAATGCAGGGGGGTACCCCACCATCAGCCCTGCACCACTGCTGTCCACCTTCTCATCTAGGACCCTGTGAGCTCCGCATTGACCTGAGAGACTTTGAGAACCACTACTATTTTGCCAAGTACTCTTCGTTCAGAGTTTTAGGAGAGTCCGAGAAATACAGACTGGTTCTAGGAGACTTCCTGGGTGGAAATGCAGGTGAGCTCAATGGGAAAGGCTGTGTTCTAGAGCATTTCAGAAGTGTTCACCATCTCTAATGCAGAGCTGTATCATGCAAACTCTGTGTGTTAGCTACATTTGGACTCAATTTTTGAGACTGGCCATGGGACCTCTGGGTGCAGAAGAGTGACCCAGAGCAATATCTACAAGCCCAGCCACATGGTTTAACAGCAGATGTGGAGCCTGGTTCTGAGCAGCACCCAATTCAATTGACCTTTCCAGCAGCTCTGCAGCAGCCAGGCCAAGTCCTGCCTTCGGTTCTATTGGCAGGAAAGATTTGCCCATGAGGTTTGGCATTTTCAGAGCTGGGGTGCTGTTCAACACTTGCAGCATCCTTTTAATGCCTGATGTTTTGTTTTTCTTTAAAAAGAAAACAAATTCTTTTCAAAATTCGATATCCCTCATGCAGGCATGAGTGAAACCAACACCTGAGAGAGCAGTGCTCTGGGTTTATGTGTACACTGCACTCTGGTAGTTCAGACCTTAGTGTGTCTGCAGAGAACCTGAGCAGTGCAAGAGAAGTGATAGCCATGTGCCTGTGAGGAGAATCTGGCCCATTTGATTCACAGGCACAGATAAGTTCTCTGTGTGTTTTAGCAGAGCTCGGGATACTTCTTTTGCCCAGGGCCAAGGAGGAAACCTGGGTAACCTGGGCAAGAGAACAGCAGGATTTACAAAATCTGCCTTGCACCCAGCAAGGGCAACTGGAGTCTGGCAGAGGTGCACAGACACATCAGGGTCTCATTTGTGATCCCTGCTGCAGTAACTGGGAACATGTGCTCCCTGCAGGAGACTCCTTATTATACCACAGGGACATGCCATTTTCAACAACAGACCAGGACAACGACGTAAGTTCCTTTAACTGTGCTACGGAATACAAGGGAGCATGGTGGTACAACGACTGCCATTACTCCAACCTGAATGGGATGTACTGGATGGGTGTGCATGGGAGCTATGCTGATGGCATCAACTGGAAGACAGGCAAAGAATACCACTACTCCTATAAGCGAACGGAGATGAAATTCAGGTCAGTTTAGCATGGAAAGAGGTGCCTGACTAGTACCAACAGGTGCCACTCACCAATCAAGAGAAGACACAAAACATAATATTGTTTGAGGATAAAAATGGACGGGTTTGTGCCTGCTGCCTAGAGCAGACCTTTTGAGGCCAGAAGAGATCAGTGCTGGTCTGAGCTCCTGTAAGCACCAGACTCTCACCCTGACTACCTCCAGTGTTGGGGTCTGGCTAGCAGAGGAGCTGTAACCTGAGCAATAGTTAAAGGAATGCTTAAGTAATCAAAACAAGACACACAAAGTAGGTCTTGCTGACCTTGTTTCTACCTTCACACATTCCTGTGTCTTCAATCCAACACTTTAGAATGGTCTTGTTCTCTCCTGCTGCCAGGGATTTTAGGTTTGGTTTAGTTTTACCGTCTTATAGATAAGTCGTTTTGCTAACAAGCTGGAATAGTGCTGTTATTTAGACTCTCATAGACACCTTGTAATCCTTGCTATCAGTTTCCCAGGATGTGAGAGCAGGATGCAGCTTAAACTTGTAACCTATCCTAAGTAAGAACTGCAGCACTGACAGGTTGAGCAACCAATCCAAAGTTGTGTGATCAGCGTGTAGCTGCATGGACGGGACACTTTTTACTAGAAATACTGTTAGGTGCCCTAAATAAAGTTGGCTATCAGAGCATCATATTGGTGTGTGCTGTAGTCCGTCCCTCGCCAGGACCCCAACACTCCAGCAGCCTCACTGGCACTGAGCCCAAGCACCTCTCTCTGAGAAGTGTGTTAACTTCATTGACCAAGTGAGGTCAGGGTGAGGCCACTGCATCTCAGTAAAGCTGTCTAATATATAGACTTAAATGGTAATTACTGGTAATTTCCCACCTAATCCATGTGTTTGAAGCCTCCAGTATTCTTGCAGCCTCTCTCTGTTGGACCCAAGCGACAGCTGAAAGGTACTGAATTCCTGACTCACTCCCACTCCCTGCAGGCTGTGATGGAGCCACAATGGAGAACAGCATGGAAAGGACCGAGCTTTTAGCACAGGGCTGTCGGCACCACCACCTCCCTCCTACCCTCCCTACATGCTCCAGGACCTCAGCTCCAGGAACCACAGCAGAGCTCCCCAGCACTTCCCACCATGACAGAGCTGCAGCTGAGTCCAGAGCCAGGGCATGTTTCTAAATCTCATTAGCCACTGTGGCCCAAGAGCTGGATGCAAACCAATCTGTCCAGCAGTATGTTTGGTACCAAACTGCAACAGTGATCCTAAGTCAAGCCTTGCACAAGTGGACATCATGTACATCGTCTGCAGGTTCCTATATCTTCCATTTCACCCTGTTTCCAGTACCATTTGACAATGAGCTATCTGCTGGTGGGCAGAGAGAGTTCATCCATGTGTATGTTGTATTTGACTGTTAACAGAACTGGTCAAAAGGTCTCTTCTTTCTGCATTCCTTCTCCTGAACTTCTCCCCACAGTTGACGCAGGAGAGCCAAGTGCTAACTCCTCACTGCAGGGGCAAACCAGGCAGTGGAAACAGAGTATTTGTTTGTTCTATGTTCTTAAAGGCCCCAAGCTTTTTACACTACTAACTGCAGAGATGTCTAGCAAGGGCAGCTGCAACCCTACAACACTGAATCCAATCTTGTGGATGACAGAAGTGAGGAAACCACTCACACAGCCCACCACAGCGGGTCAATAGGGTGCTAAGAAATAAACCTGAAGGTTTGCATCGCCCCATTCACTAGGTCCTGTGTCTGTTCACTTCTTTTCAGGTACACAAGAAAGTGTGTGTCTGATCACAGAAGTGCACACTGAAAGCCCCACAGTCACCTTTCCCACTCCAGGGGCTCTGTTTTTTCTCCTACTCCCAGTTCGACTGAGACCCTCAGCAGGGGTAGGAGCAAGGTACCACGGCATACAGTTGTGTCTCACCCATCAGCCACCAATGCTGTCATCCAGGAACAGCTTCTCAGAGAGGCCCAGGGTGCCACCACACAGCTCTGCAGAACCACAGACCCCTCTGCAGAGAGGTACGAGCTGGTGCTGACATACTCAGCTTTAACCTCGCAAAAAGTGCTCTCCTCTATTTTCTCATCTTACTACACGGAAACCTTCAACGTTAAGATTTTGTTTGTGCAGGACACTGATGTTAGAGGGATTAAGAGAACACCAAAAGCAGTTTACCTAAGCCCATCTAGTCAATATTCCCAAAGCTGACTCCATAGAGGAAATACTCGGGTATGACAAGTCATCACTAAGGCTAGTTGAGGTGTTTTGGACCTGGCTGCAGAGTGAAATCTTCCTGTGTCCCTGTGTTGGTTTTGGCAGGGGTAGAGTTAATTTTCTTCACAATGTGGAGTTCTGTTTTGGATTTGTGCAGAACATGATAACAATGCAGAGATGTTTTGTTATTGCTGAGCAGAGCTTACACAAGGCCAAGGCCTTTTCTGCTTCCCACACTGCCACACTGGCAAGGAAGCTGTGGGTGCATGGGAGACTGGGAGGAGACACAGCTGGGACAGGTGACCCGAAGTGACCAAAGGGATATTCCATACCATAGGACATCATGCTCAGTGTATAAACTCGGGGAAGAAGGCGGCGGGGAGGATGTTTGGATTGGTGGTGTTTGTCTTCCCAAATCACTGTTACACATGATGGGGCCCTGCTGTCCTAGAGTTGTTGAACACCTTCTCCACATGGGGAGCAGGGAATGAATTCCTTATTTTGCTTTGCTTGTGTTTTGCTTTCCCTATTAAATTGTATGTATCTCAACCCATGGGTTTTCTCTCCCTGATCCCACTGGTGGGGGAGTGAGAGAGACTCTATGTGGGGCCTGGTGACTGGCTGGGATTAAAGTGTAACATGTTATCTCCTAAGCTGGCACAGTAAGCCATAGGTGGGCACAGCAGCCCCTCCAGCATAAGTCTTGAGCACTCCCTGTGCTGATATAGGCACGTGGGGGAAGAGGGTCATGGAAACACAGAATAGTTGGATTGGAAAGGACCAAAAAGATCATCTAGTTCCAACCCTTCCATGGGCGGGGATGTCACCCACTAGATCAGGTTGCTCAGGGCTCCATCCAACCTGGCCTTGAACACTTCCAGGGATGGGGCTTAATAGGCCATCCCACGCATCACACCTGCAGCAGTCACAGGGAGGGCCTGCATTGACTCCTCCCAGGAAGAACTGAACCACTCAGTTCAGGATTCAGTTCCCCAGACACATGTACAAACAGAATTGCCACCTCTCCTCAGCAGAAGGCTTCTCACTCTTCCATCAGTTCTCACACACGACCGGTGTGGGGAAGAGACAAGGAATAGACTTGAGATGTCCTAAAGGAATATGCTCCCCATACTGTCAGGATACTAGACTCCTCCCAGGAAGAACTGAACCACTCAGTTCAGGATTCAGTTCCCCAGACACATGTACAAACAGAATTGCCACCTCTCCTCAGCAGAAGGCTTCTCACTCTTCCATCAGTTCTCACACACGACCGGTGTGGGGAAGAGACAAGGAATAGACTTGAGATGTCCTAAAGGAATATGCTCCCCATACTGTCAGGATACTATCTCT